AATTATCCTTATATGCAAGCTGCTGTAATTCCGCATACTGCTGTTTCAGGTCGCGACCTCAACTTCAGCGTTGGCGATGCCTGGCGTTTTTTATCCATGTATATTTACGTTCCTACATACGAAACTGCAGCTACCATAAGCTTACACATGTCTTGCCGCAGTTATTTTCTAGCATCAATCTTGTTCCGATCTCACGCGTCGCGCTCCACATGGTTCGTCGCAAGTGCTCTGGATGCCAGAAATGGGGGTAGATCGGTGTACATGCACGCCGACGCAAAGGTCTAGCGAGTCTACCAAGCCAAAGCCGCCGCAGAGGAAGCCGACAGCTTCCCAGAGCAGAACGCAAACTACTTCATCAAAGACAGCATGCCGTAGACAACGCGCTGAGCAGCTGCACCAGCATTCCAATGAGTCTACTACGCCGTCGACTCGACAGAAGAACTCCACAGCTTCGCACAGCACAACAAGGCTAACTCCCACAAGCAGGGTGACCAATTCGATCACATCTGAGGTGCAAGGCCTAGTAAAGAACTATAGCTTACAGATGGAGCTCGAGTTGGAGCGCGTTCGTGTAGAACGGTTGCGATTGGAAAGTGAGAAGTCCGCAAGGAAGAGAGCACGAAAAGCCGAGCGAGAGGAAGTCGCCGCGCGTGCCGCGAAGACCAAGTATTGGAGCAGGGGGCGGTGGTCCTCTAAAGGACGCAACGCATCCAGGTCTAGTAAGTCTAGTACTTCTTGGTCTCAGCAAGGTTGGTCCTCCAAAGGAGAACAGCGAAGCTGAAAGCGCGCCCTTTCTGGGGCAGCAGCCTTTCCCGAGTCTAATTTTCCGCCTCCTGGTCTCATGTGGGACGAGGCTGAGTTGAGTGCATACAATGATGGATGCAACTAGTTACGCCTGTGGACAATGATGGAAAAATCTTTCGGTCAATATGCGCTGTGACGGCAGTCTCTGCGGAGGACGTGTGCATTACTGTTATATGTTCTACAGTTTAACGCCGAAGATAGACAGAAGAGAAACCCAGATACAGAAGAGAAGACAACTCACAGAACAAGGGAGGAACAAAGGGGACACGGAGGATAAAGTCAAGAGGCTGGAACAAAGAGAACAAAGCGAACAAAGGTAGACAAAGGGGGACGAGGGGGACAGGGGTCAAAGGGGGACAAAGGGGGACGACAAAGGGGACAGGGGACAAAATTGGGACAAAGGGGACAGGGGACAAAAGGGGGACAAAGGGGACAGGGGACGAGAGCGACAGACAGGGACAAAGAGGACAGGGACAGAGGGGATCGTTGGCGTGCAGGAGATGATCCACCCGGAGAACAATGACCTGGCAGTCGGGGTGCTCGAAGATGCGCCGAACTTCTTCCTGCCTTGGAATGCATCATCTATGACCGCATGTGCTGAGCTTTGCAGGCAGTGCGAAAGTCGGATATGCTCCAGGACATTAAGTATTTCTGCGTCGATAAGTTCCACGCACATGGTCATGGTACAACTTGTCCGTGCTCACCCTTGGTGCACAAGAAGTTGGACAAGAGATTGCGAGGGGTGAATACCTCTGTGGCTGAGCAAACCTTCGCTTGGTTTCGCAAGTATGCCAGAACATTCAATACCATGTCGCCGCAAACGCACTTCTTCTATGTTCAGCTCTATGTGCAGAAGCACAACGAGTTGATCCGCAAGAACAGCGTGAGTCACCTCTGCCCCTTCGGCTCAGGCCGCAAGCGCCGTCGTTCTCAGCCGTACAATTGCAGCAAATCATCCTCATCCAAAGTTTTCCGTCGTCCAGCTGCAAAGGCATGCTTGCGGAGGCCAGCAGCCTGCACGGCGAAGCGTCCAGCGTCCTCGAAGTAGGAGTTTGATTTCTAGTGGACTGTGCTGTCGCTGCGACATGTCCCAGGCATGAACAAAGAAGAAGAAGAAGAGCGAGTGTCCGAACGAGCCGAGAGATATGTGTAACCTGTCAGTTGCTGCCTCAGCTCCCTTGGCAAGCCAAGGTTATAACAAGAGCAAAGTAGTTACCTCTGCTAAGGTCAGATCTTCAGCGTGCTGCTTGCGCGGGCGTCAGCTCAGCTGTTGGGGGCAACACTACCTTAAGACGTTGTGACGCTGCTTGCTGGGAAGTATGAGCAAGACATTTCTAGAGTAAAAAACCCGAGGAAGAACACGGAATTCCTCGAAAACTCGCGCCGCCACGGCATGCCACTCTCTATAAAAAAACCCGAAACCCCCGGTCCAGGCCTACAACTACAACACTTTCAGGTCCAGGTGGGTAGCTACGGTTCTAGGAGTCTTATAGAAGGTCCATATACCTTATAGAAGCCTTATAGAAGCCCTATATACCCTAAACTCCCCACCTGTAGTTTCCTTTAGCCAGGCTTACAACTACAACACCACCAGCGACTCAGATCCTCGCAACCTCGTGCTGCTCTGCACAAGCCAAGGTATGGCTGTGCAACAGGACCCCAGAGACTCCAAGGGTCCCTTTTAGGATTCCTTATAAAGGGATCTATAAGGGTTTTTGTTTTATAAGGGTTTGTAAAACGGGAACCATAAGGTTTTTATATAGGTAGTTGCAACAGGAACGGTTAGGGGTTAGTGTTTATATAGGGTTTAGGGTTGAGGGTTTGGCGTTGAGGGTTTAGGGTTTAGGACCCCAGAGACTCCAATATGGGTTTAGGGTTTAGGGATTTAGGGGTTTAGGGTTTAGGGTTCACGGTTTAGGGTTGAGGGTTTAGGACCCCAGAGACTCCAGTATGGGTTTAGGGGTTTAGGGTTTAGGGTTTAGGACCCCAGAGACTCCAATATCCCTTAATTAAGGCTCCAAATAGCCCAAGAGCCTTACATAGTATGGTTTCTTGGGCCCAAAAGCCTGAAAATATGAGTCCTTAGAGCCTTAGGGGTGGAAACCTGAAACAAAAATAAGATCCATAATATGATTTAGGGTATATTCCTTAATTTAGGGTTTGGGCGTCTCTAGGACGCGAGGGGATGGGGTTGGGTGTTTAGGGTTCGGGAGTTTGGGGTTTCAGAATTTTTTTGGTTAGGGTTGAGGCTGTCGAGATGCGGGGCTTAGGGGTCAGGGTGTCGTATAGTTATGAACTTTATTGCTGTGTGGTTGAGGCTTTTAACAATTAGGTTGCAGGGAAGGGATTTGCGGCTTCCTGATCGGGGTTTGGGTGTTGCGTCAAAGCCCCCTGGAATTGTGTAGGACCCTGCATGATGCTGATGTTCCTTAAAAACCCTAAACTTTTCACCGTTGTAGGGGCTTCTGGAATTGAGGGTCTGCTCGCAGGCTACTGAGTTTTGTGCACCAGCATTGCGACTTCATGTGCCAGGGCATAGAGCTCCGTTGACGTAGCAAGGTAGCCCGAGTTTTAGGGTTTAGGGTCCCTAAGCCCTAAACTCTAAACCCTTATGGGTTTAGTGTTCCCTCTCGGCCCCGCCGCAAGGATGGGCGCGGCTCGAAGAAACTTTTCCACCATGCTGCTTGCTGCAATTCCCAAAGGCTCCAAAGTACCTATATAGTACCCTAAGCGTCCATGTGCCTAAACAGTATATATTTTGGCCCACAAAGTACCTGTATAGGGACTACTTTGAGGCCAAAGTATATACTATGTGGGTACATGGACCCTTGGGTAGAATGTAAGGTGTTTATATGAGGAATTACTAGTATGATCTAGGGAAGTATCCCCCATAACAGTACACAGGACGCTTTAAGAATAGATACCCAAAGCCCCTTATAGGACCCCTCCAAGCTCTTGAACCTTGATTCCCTAAAGCCACGTCCTAAATTTGAAGCATACCTTTAATAAACCTCGGAGCATGGGCCCTGTGTAAACTTTCATTTAGAACCCTGAAGCTAAACCCAGTTTCCGGCCGAACACCAGTGATTCTAAACCATAAAAACCCTAAGCCCCAAGCCCTAAACCTTAAACCTAAACCCCCTAAACACCCTAAACCCTAAACCCTATGCCTTCCATCCGGGACCCTAAACTAAACCCTAAGCTCCAATCTCTGAACCCTTTAGAACCCTAAAACTTTGCCACAACAGAACCCTATACTCAACCTCTACAGGACCTGTAGAACCATTGTAGAACCCTGACTAAGATCCCTTTGAGCAACCTAAAACCTCTAAGGCTGTTGAATCGAGTGGCAAGATTCACCGCTATTGGCTGGAAGCAGAAGAGAGCGCACACAAGGCTGTTTTTTCGAGGGGGTGTGTACTTTAGGGTTTACGGTTGAAGGGTTCCTTGAAAAGGATTCTTTCAAGCGATTTAAAGGGGGATGGTTTCGGGTTTGTAGGTTTAAGGGTTTAGGGCATTGGAATCTGGGTTGCAGCGTTTGAGTTTGAGAGGTTCATTCCGGATTCGGTTTTCGCTGAGTTTGTAGCGTTTTGCAGTCTTCTGACGTGGTGTCTTACCGTACGCATGTTGTTGTAGTACGCAGACCTACATAGCCTAAAAAGACTACGCATATACTTGACAAACTCAGTGTAGAACCCTGGTGAATGAAAGCCCTTGACCTCAAGCCGGGGTTGATGAGTAGGGATCCTTATGCAGTTGCATCAAGGATGACAGGTCTCGTCATAGACCCTAAACCCTAACGCCTACAGCCTTAACCATAAACCACCAAAAAGCCGCATGAAGCTTAAGGAAGTGTGCTTTCAGATGGTCCTTGCTTTGCTAAAGGGCCGTTTACAACAACACCTTTAGCAAATCGTGTTCAATCTCGAGCTCGAGCGCATCGCCATCCGGCTTGGGATTTTGGGTTTCGAGGCTCCGATTCCGGCTTCGGATTTAGGCTTTAGAGGCTCCGTTTCTGCCCGAAATCCTTACCCTCAGCAAGCCTGAACATCCCAAACCCACCAAGCCAACAAGCTTGCGAAGGTTGGTGGTGAACAGCGGGAGACGGACAAGGATCTGGTTTTGAGCCAGGGGTTTGTTCAAGCTTCAGGTGAGGGTGTCTACTGTGTGTCCCTAAACACTCTAAACCCTAAACCCCCGAATCCTAAACTAAACCCGAAAGCCAACCCCCCGAACCCTAAATCCTGTACATGGCTTCATCTCCCATCACTAAGAAATTTGTCAAACTCGGAAGCACTAGTTTACTTGTCCAGCCGCTGCTAAATTGTAATGTCATACTGCTGGAAAGGATTTTGGAGGGTGGTAGCTTCTCGCTTTAGGGTTAAGGGTGTGGGGTTCAATCGTGCCTTTTGCCTTCCATGTGCGAAAGGGATATTGCTGTTTCGCGTCTGTCTTTCCGTGGTTCTGGGTAAACTTCCACATTTAATCTGCAAGAGAACCTCAGCTGCGAATCGCGCATGAAATCCGGATTGATCACCAATATTGTGCCAAGTAGGGCTCCTTATAAAAAGACTTCTGCTTTAACATACCGCAACACCCTATGCTAATGCTTATAAGGATCCTACATTAGCTGTTTAAAAGTAGTTTTCCCTGGGCATGCATCTCAGCTGCAGGTCTGTCACCCCCCTTCAGACCCTAATATAAACTGTAAACCAAAACCGAAGATATAGCTTTTGCGGTTTATAATATAGGATTGTACTGGGGTTTAGGGCTTATAGGGTTTAGGGTTATCGGGTTCGTGAAGAAGGAGCCCAGTACGTAGCGGAATCTCCATGTGAAGTTTCAGAAATTCTTTGAGAAGTAGGGTTCGATTAGCAGAAGTATCGGCCAGCACTCGAAAACCCCCAGCAATAACCCCTCGTCGCAGAAGCGCTAGATTCACAGCAAATTCACCCAACTCTTAGTCTTATGCTCTAATGGGCCCGATTTGTAAGTCCTTCCGTAGTCACAAATACGCTCGGTCCAGGAGCGCGCCGATGCCCTAGCTCGCGGCAAGGCGCCTCGTCTCATCCTTTTGAAAGGTTTGGGGGTCCCCTAAACCCTAAACCCCAAAGGGGGGGGCGGGGGGCTTGAGCTCTGGGCTTGCGTTACGGGTTGAGGGCTTAGGGTTTAGGGGTTTGGGCTTTCACTTAGGTCTATAGGGTTTAGGGTTTAGGCCCAGGGTTTAGGGTATATTCTATAGAATCTGGACCATGATGTCGGCCAAGAGTGTGGGCACTATTACAAGTAATGGCACGATCTGGGTTACATCATATCCGGTAAGTAACCTACGTATACTAGTTACTCTTATAAAACCCTAACCTCTAGATCCTAAATTCTAAACGAACCCCTAAGCCCTAAATCCTAGGACCCCTAAACCCTAAACCCCTAAAAAAGGACCCTAGATATAATCATATAAAATCCTGCACCCTAAATCCTAAAACACACCCGAAAAGAGACCCTAGATATACTAGATATAAGGTGGCGCTGGAGCCCCAGGGAATAGTGTTGCAATGTTGGATCGGAAACACAGGGTTAACAAGTTTAGGGTTCATAATAGGGTTCAGGCAAGCCCTACTCGCTGCCTCCTCAAACCCAAAATTTTGCGGCTGACAGATTACGGCTTAGGGCTCAAGGTTTTGAACCTTCTAACGCTGAACCTTAGACCGTCCACTATGAATAGCCCGAAGTCGATATGATCTACCTATGTAAATATAGTCTTTTGAGCTCGGAAAGTAGGTGTCAATATTGATATTACTATTCCTCATGTATTATAGGATTAGTATTAAGCTACTTGCGGTAGAACCGACAAATCCCGAAATCCGGACGCTTCAACCCTAAGATCCTAGATACCTAGGAGTAGTTGTTTTTCTGTAGGGTTTAGGGTTTAGTGTCCGTTTCGCATGGCGTGGGCCTGTATAGATGGCCAGACGCGAGTTAGGATTAACACACACACACACACCCACGCGCGCGCTAGCCCTCCAGGTACCTACTGTGTAGGGCCCTGGGGGTTCTAGTACCATCTATAGTAGGGACCGGGAGGGTTAGGGTTTAGGGTTTGGGAAAGAGTTGCAACAAGGCCACTTCCAGCGTCATCGGCGTCCGGGCCATGGGACAGCGCTTTAACGTGCTGATGACCATCCAGGCAGCCTGACACCCCCAAACCCTGAAGACCCAAAACCCAAAAGCTCTACATGACTGAGCCCTGAACCAAAAAAAACCCTAAACCCAAACCCCTAAACCCTAAACCCTATAAGACTATAAGACCTAAAGCCCCTAAAACTCCCCTGAACCCTGAACCCTAAACGCCAACTACCAACGTTCAAAAGCTCCTCGGAGGCTCAGTGCAGCACGATGTTTCTGTGTTTTAGTCTTCAAGGTCTTAGCGTTCAGGGCTTTGGATTTTAAGGTTCAGGTTTTAGGGTAAAGGTCAATGATCGGAGAGATTACCACCAGCCATGCCCGCCAGCATAAGACTTCATGCAGGTAGGGCGTCATGGACCAGCAAGATATACTTGAGCTTGAGGTTTCGGGTTCAGGGCGTAGGGTGGCTATGGTTTCAAAGCTTCTAAATTCTATTTGGGGATCCAAAAAAGCCCCTTGCTTTAAGGGCTCTACATGTTAATTAAGGGGTCAGAACCTGGTATTTTGTAGGATTGTAGGGTTTGGGGCCACAGGCAAATCTTAAATCTTCAATCCTAAACCCCTAAACTTAATTCCGAACCCAAAACCCTCAATCCTAAGCCCTAGACCCTACTGTAGGGGCCTAGAAAATTACCAATGCTTTTTTGGGTGGTTCCAAATATAGTATAATGGGCCCCATAACCCTATTCTAATTACTAAGGACCCAAAACCCTAAACCCTTCTAGTAGCCCTTCTAGAACCCTATTTATACCCCTTTAACAGGATCCCTCCCAAACCCTACTCTGATTATAAGGCCCCGAAGAATTCAGCGGTTTAGGGTTTAGGGTTGAGGGTGGTTTAAGAGTTTGTATAGTCCTTATATACCCCTTAAATAGCCAGGTAGTCCCCATATTAACCCCAATAACCTACAAGGATCCCTGTTAAGGGTCCCTCCTAAAGCCCTTAGATTTAGGGTTTAGGGTGGTTTAAGAGTTTAGGGCTTAAGGGTGTA